TGCTAGTTGGGGTTTAGTCCACTTCTATATCCTTTCCTTCAAGGCTCAAGGGTCCAGGATTATCTTCTGTGTCTGTGTTAATTGGTTTCCCTTTTCTTTGTTGAAGAGGGTCTGTGCAGTCTTTCTGCCTAGTCCTCCATCTTACCGGAACTCCTATAGTCACTTCTTGGTCACAACCAGCTACCCAGAGGCACTGAGTAGTTGAACTGGTGGGCTTGGGACCATGGTCACGGGGGACATGAAGCTCAATTGGCATAATATACTACACAAAACATTGTTCCACCTCCTACTTTGGTGAGTAGTGACTGGGTTCTTAAAAGCTTGAAAGCAGCCATCTAGATGTAATGGTGGGTCTCTCCTCATCCAGAGCAAAGAAGAATGAAGAAAACCAAAATGCATGGAAACAATTAGTCCTAGCGACTGGTACACCATGCGATCCTCACCCTATATGACTATGAGACCAGAAGAACTAGATGGTGCCCAACTACCACTGTCAACCACTTGGAGGGGGATCTATGTAGGAGATCCTGGATAAAGAGGGAGTACAATGTGCAGCAAAACTAAAAATAATTTGGAAAAAAAAAAGGGGTTGGGGAACCAGCTTTTCTGGTCTGATAGAGCCTGGTGGAACCACTGTGACTATGGCCCCTAGCTGACCTTCAGGTCTGGAAATGAACCCATGTGGACCTGTGGCTTCCAGCCAAACAAAAGACAGGCATATGAGTTGAACACTTACCTGAGGTAGATACACTCCTTGGAGAGAACAATCATGAGAGAAAGAAGGGCTGTTTGTGCACAGAAGGACAGTTCAGGGGGCAGGAGTGCATGGATGGATGGACACAGGGTAGAGGTAACTATGGGGAGGAAGTGGGAGGGGAGCTGTTGCATTAGGGTAAATTGTAATCAATGTCATGAGACAGAGTGCATGTGAACTGTTGTATGGAAAGTGAATTTGTTCTGTAAATTTTCACCCAAATCACAAAAAAAAAAAAAAAAAAAAAAAGAGAGAGAGAAAAAACTAAAGTTTGTAAGTAGCATTTTGAACATTGATATCATTTGAATCCCATTAAATGCTATTTTTGTTGCTGTGCCAGACTTGCTTTTTAACCTCTTCCTCTGCTTTTTCCATTTACTGCCTGCTTCTTTTTTTGTGGTTTGATAATCCTTTTGTACAATGATATGTGTGGTCAGTAGAAGAAGCAATCTTGTTGCTTCAGTGTTGCTATTTATAGATTTGGTATAGAATTTTGTCGAGAGAAGATTCAAACAGTGGAAAGTGGAATTATTTTCTCTCTCTTTGCTGGCTCAGATGATCAGGCATTCGTACCTCTTGATTATCTGTATTGAAACAGGAGTGGAAATATTAAAAACAGCAAATAATCCAAGACTCCAGAAAGTGCTTTGTTACGCTACTTAATTGTAGATGTATCTAATATTTTGGGAATTTTAATTAGTGAACTAATGAAGGTACAGGACAATGACTCGACTATGGAAGACTTTCCTTATTCTAATTCCTTTCCTTTTTTCTTATTGCAGTTCTTAATCAAGCCCTTAATCAATTCCTCCTTACGCTTAATATGCTAGGAATTGAAAGGCACTCTCTTGGGAAAGGTGGTAGAAAAATTACAATTGCTTAATTTTCTTTACTTAAATGCTGATATAATATATTTTATTATGCATTTTAGTATGTAGTAAAAGAAGTATAAATTTAATGGAAAAAAAGTTAATATGACTATGATAATATTTTAAATTCGAATACACCACAGCTTTTGGTCTAGAAGAGCTCAAGGAATGCGTCAAAATGCCATATTTACCAGAATTGCAAAGTTGCCAGAAAACTCTAAGTTCAACTCCACTAGAGGGTCATAGAAGACTGCTGCATCCAAACGTTGAGATGCCTAAAATCAGGTACAGCTTACCCTTTCTTTGAATATTTACCTGTAGTAATACTGCTGTATGTAAAGGTAATTTTGATTATTTCTTGCCTACTGATTTTTTTTTTCCATTAAGGGATTTAATTTTTAAATCACAAGGATTTTATTCAGTTTGACAAGTTAGCAGGTTACTCAGTTTGATAGGTAGATACTTTTCTCTGTTTCAAGTAACACTGCAGAAGGATTTAAGGACATTTTGAAAATCTTTATTGTCTTAGACCTAGATCACATCCATGAGAGCATTGGCATTTTTAGCAATTAAAAAAAAAAGGTTTAGGAAAAAAAAATGGACTCTGCCAATGAACACATTTCTGTCCCCTAAGTACAGGATCTTGTATTTCATTTCTAGTTTAACTTGAAGAAGTGTGAGGGAGAGATGTGAATGAGGTGACAGCCTCAGTAAGACTAGGCACTATCAGGAATGAATATTCCCACTGACTTTAAATGCTGCTGACTGAAAACATTATTGTAAATATCTGTCCTACTATATAAATCAGGCTGATTGGCATATCACTAAAAGAAAACCCCTGTCTCCAAAGAGTTCTGTATTAATAAGTCAGTTTCTTATTTTATTCAGTTTCTGCTATGATTTATTCATCAGATATTTATTGATTGTCTATTATTTGTTCACTCTGCCAGCTGACAAAAAGGCAAAAGCATTTATAGCATTCTGAGTTGTAACTTTCTTTAGGGGAAGACATATATATACATATATATATATATATATATATGTATATATATGTATGTATTTGTATTTTCCTTCTTCCAAGTTAACATGTATCTACCCTCTAGACAGTGGTCTACCCTTCCTTCCCCATTCACCCCTGGTAACCATGAAAGATGTTTCTTTTTTGTGTGTGAAACCTTTTCATTGACTTTTTGCAATAGTGGTCTCATACAGTATCTGTTCTTTGTGATTGATTAACTTCACTCAGCATAATGGCCTCTAAGTTGATCCATGTTATGTTTCACAGATTCATCATTGTTCTTTAATGTTGTATAGTATTCCATTGTGTGTATGTACTATAGTTTGTTGATTCATTCCTCCATTGATGGGCATTTAGGTTGTTTTCATCTTTTTGCTATTGTGAATGATACTGCGCTGAATATGGATGTGTATGTATCTGTTCATGTGGCTGCTCTTATTTTTCTAGGATATATACCTGGTGGTGGGATTGCTGGAGCCTATGGTATTTCTATTTCCAGCTTTTTAAGGAAGCACCATATACCATGCTCCACAGTGGTTGCACTATTTTATAGTCCCACCATCAGTGTATGAGGGTTCCAGTCTCTCCACACCCTCACCACCATTTTTTTTTCTTTAATTTTGCTATTGGTGCTGGGGTGAGACCGTATTGCTTTGCATCTCTCTGATGGCTAATGATAATGATCATTCTTTCATGTGTTTGTTAGCTGCCTGAATGTCTTCTCTGGTGAAGTATCTCTTCATGTCTGCCCATTTTTTAAATTGGATTATTTTTCTTTTTGTTGTTAAGTTGTTGAAGTTTTCTATAAATTTTAGAGATTAGCTCCTTGTCTGGTATGTCATTGCTAAAATTTTTTCCCCTAGTCTGTGCATTCTTCTTTCACTCTTTTGATGATATCTTTTGATGTATGTTAGTGTCTAATTTTTAGGAGGTCCTGGTCATCTATTTTGTCTTCTGGTGTTTGTGTGTTTTTAGTTCTAGTTGATAGTGTATTTGTGCCTTGAATTAGGATCCCTAAATTTGTCCCTATTTTTTCTTTGATGGTCTTTATGGTTTTAGGTTTTACAGTTAGGTCTTTGATCCAACTTGAGTTTGTTTTTGTATATGGTGTGAGATATGGGTCCTGTTTCCTTTTTCTGCAAATGGATATCCAGTTTTGCTATCATGATTTATTAAATAAAATATCTCTTTCTGATTTTATGAGTTTTGGACCTTTGTCAAAGATCAGCTGTCCATAGGTAGCTGGATTTAATTCTGGGTTCTGAATACTGTTCCATTTCTATTGTACCAGTACCAGGCTGTTTTAACTCCGTGGCTATATAGCAGTTTTTGAGATTAGAGGAGTGTAAGGTCTCTTAGTTTGTTCTTCTTCTTCAGTAGTGCTTAACTTATCTGGTCTCTTTACTTTCCATATAAAAAATTGGTGATTAGTTTTTCCATCTCTTTAGAGAAAAATGATGGAATATGGATCAGGATAGCATTGTATCAGTAGGTTGCTTTGGGTGTTGGTGACATTTTCACCATGTTAAGTCTTCCAACGCATGAGCATGATATGTTGTTGTTGTTGTTGTTAGGTGCCATTGAGTCAGTTCTAAGTCACAGAGACAGTGCACACAACAGAACAAAACACTGCCCAGTCCTGTGCCGTCCTCACAATTGCTATCCTTGAGCGCATTGTTGCAGCCACTGTTTCAGTCCATCATGTTGAGGGTCTTCCTCTTATTTGCTGACCCTCTACTTTACCAAACATGATATCCTCCTCTAGTACATGAGACAAAGTCTAGATATTCTTCATCTAAGGAGCATCCTAGCTGTATCTCTTCCAAGACAGATTTGTTCATTCTTCTCGAAGTCCACTGTATTTTCAATAATTTTTGCCAAAATTAAAAATCAAAATGCATCAATTCTTCTGTGGTCTTACTTATTCATTGTGCAGCTTTCACATGAATATGAGCTATTGAAAATATCATGGCTAGGGTCAGTTGTACCTTACTCTTCAAAATGACATCTTTGCTTTTTTGACACTTTGAAGTGTTTTTGCAGCAGATTTGCCCAGTGCAATATGTCATTTGATTTCTTGACTGCTCCCTCCCGGGCATTGAGTATGGATCCAGGTAAACTGAAATCCTTGGCAACGTCAGTCTTTTCTCTGTTTATCATGATGTTGCTTATTGGTCCAGTTGTGAGGGTTTTGTTTTCTTTATATGGAGGTATAATCCATACTAA